GACAGTTGACTTTGCAGTTTTGCAAAGTTCTTGAAACTTTCATAATACGCTTCAAGCTCTAGTGAGGCTGTTTTGGGTACTTCAGTTCTGGTTTTAATAGTGCAGTTTAACATATTTGCTGCTTTTATGCAATGTGTGCTCCTGGTTACAATAAAAAAAATTCCTCACAGCTCTTTGTGTTCAAACTTGAAAACCCTCTCATAGACTGGAAGCACTTAATGTCTTAGGCTAAACTGTATCAGTCTAAAAGCATGCTAATGTTGGCATTGGAAGGGAGGGGGAGATCTCAGAAAACTACAGGCATGCTGCTGATGTGTTCTGAGATTCTTCTGAGTGCCTTGGTCATTACTCTCTTACTTTTCAAGTGAAAAAGGACTTGTACCACAGTTCCCAATGAAACTTGCTGTATAATGCTTTTGGGTGGTGTAAACAAGACTCTTATGTTTTGGGGATTTTTCCTGTTTCTGTGGGACTTGGCTAGTAATAAAGTGGGATTTAATGTCATATGTCACATGTGTTCTGAAGATTTCTCAAAGACTATTTGGGGTGCATGGTATATAATGACTCAATTATTTTGATTGATATTAAACTAAGATATTTATATATAGGAAATACACTATTGCTTTGTCAAGTTTCTTTAATTTTGCTTTTTTTTTCTACTTTGCTTGGGTTTTTTGCCATTTTTGGTAATTGGAAATGAATGAAAGCATTTGAGTAACTTTGCCAGTTAAACACTTAGCAGGGTGTGTTCACTGAAGACTGCATTTGTGCCAAGTCTGGAATTTTACTAGGATGTCTATTTTTCTGAATCAATACCAAGGAAGCTAAAAATAATGGCCTACTCTAAATTGGAAGTGGGAACCCTTGTCCTAGATAGGATAAAGAGCTGAAATTCTCTGGCCAGAAGCCAACACTTCTTTCTGAAGGAAATAGTTAATTGGGCTGTACATAGATTTCTGATGAACCAGAGTTATATGATAGTTATAATCAGCTTGACTTAATCAGCCTCCAGAGCTGTGTTTGGGTAAGTTCTTGGAGATCAGCAATTGTGTGGAGACTTCTTGGCCAGATCTGATCTGCTTCAGTAAATCAGAAGAGATCCTGAAGTCAGCCTGATGGTGCTTTTTTGGAAAGAAGTAGAACTTTGCAGTCAGACACAGAGTAACAGTGAGTGAGAATTTGCTGATGATTTAATTGGGTGGTCATTGGTGACTTGGTTCAAATAATGCCTCTGTGAGATGGAAATGTTTTCAGCCATGGCCCTTGTTGAAAATTGAGTTCTGTAAAATACCTTTATGTGATATGGGTGTGTTGGGTTATGCGTGAGTGTGCTGCCTGACATCTTCTGCATTTTCTGCCTCTTCAGAGCTGTTGATATCTCTCTCTCTGAACTCCAGAAAGTGTTTCCATCATATTTACTGTTGAAAAGTTTTGTCTCCCAGTGTGAGACACATTTCAAGTAGTATGTCCTTGGCAAAGGAAATCCCTTCCAGAATTTCAAATCATTACTTCAAGCAGTGGGGATAGGAGCTTCTACAGAATCATCAGGAGTATTGAGTGACAGTGCTAATATGGCCTTGTTCAGCAACACTTCACCTTGGGTTTTTATTTCATTTGCTCATCAGGCTTAGGTTACAAGATTCTTAAAAAGAAAATAGGGGTTCTTGTCTCTCTTGTAAAAGAATTTGCTCCCTGTGACTTGTTTTGGGTGGTTGGTTTTTATAGACTGAGATTTTTGTTAGATTTCTCATGCACACTTCTTCTCATCAAAGGGTATTTCCTTACCAGGGTGTCAATTTTCAAGTCTGCCAACTTTAAAGATTTACTTAAGATCCAAGCACACATTTCAAAGTGATTTAAGCATGGAAAAAGTACTCTTAGTACATTTGAAAGCTTATAAATTTAATTCCTTAAATGTTTAATCAGTTTGTTGCAGTTTTGCATATATTGTAAATTTTTATACCAAGTGTTTCATTTTGGCATAAAAGAGGGTTGCTTTTTGGTAAAAAAGCAAGTCTGATTTTAGGAGGGCTATGTCTCCTATTTAGCCTAGTTCTATTTGGGCATTGAATGAGAAATCCAATACTTGCACTACTTGCACCATGCATTAATTAAATACTCAGCAAGGAGCTATTTCAGTCTCTGAATAAATGCTTTAGACTGGCTTAATTTTAACCATTTATATTAGCTTATGTCTAGATAATTTCTAGTACCATTTTAATTCCTGCTTAACATGGGCATCTTTTGCATGCAAAGAGAACCTAATTCATCAGTGGTTTGTGGTTTGCTGTGTTCTGTCTGCACACATCAGTCACTCTGGCTGACAACAGGCACCAAAATTCTACTTCACAGCTAACTCTTAGGTGATACTGAACTGCCACCCTATGGCACCAGGAGTTTTATATCAATTTTCATTTTTAAATGTGATGTGTAGTCTTTACTAACATTTGATAGAACTGGTGTTTTACAAATCCTTATGCTTTGTTCCCCAGGTACTGCTGGGCATATAGTAAAGTTTCTAAGAATATATGTGTGTATATAAAGTTACTTTTACTTGTAGAGCCTGTATTTCTATAACAAGCTGTTTTTATTAAAGTTCTCTGCAAAGTTTCTCACTCTTTGGGAGAATTAAATGCTACCAGAACTTGTGATCAGCTGTTTCACTGAAAAGATGGTGTAGTGACTCGTTCAGTGCAAGAAATTGGATGAACTTTCTCATGAGGTATATTTAACTTGAAACAGCCTGTTCTACTGTGACTAAGTCTTCTGGGCCAAAATATTTTATGTTGAACTAGAATTAGTTTGACCTCAGACATCTTACTCACAAATGTAATTTAACATTATGCTACTCCTTCCCTGTGCTGCTGAGAGAATTGCATCAGTTACAAAATAAAACACGACTAGTTATATTTTTGTTGCCTTGCATGACTTCAAAACTGAAAAAAAGCCACAAATCCAACTTCTTAAACCTTTTCTGTGTTAGTTTAGACTCCATAAAAATTCAAGTTATGCTTGTAAAAAGCTAAAAAATACACATGTTTTTCTTCTTCAGATAATGTCTCCCACGGCATTGTTTTTGGCTGCAAAAGTGGAAGAACAGCCACGGAAACTTGAACATGTTATTAAAGTAGCAAATGCCTGTCTTCATCCTCAAGAGCCACAGCTGGATACAAAGAGTGATGTAGGTGGAAGTTATGGTTTCAAAGATACACAGTTTGAAAGATGACATTTCATCTAATGATTTGTTACATTGTCTTACTGGAATATTGCTCTCTGCAGCCTAGGAAGAAAAGCCTTTGTTTTTATACCATTTAAGTCTTTCTATTACTTAATGCAGTTTCTTAAAGACTCACTTATTTGTTATGAAACTTGAAGAGATTGCTCCGTCTTGAAATTCTTACAGCACCCACCTGACCTCCCAAAAATGCTTTGCTGGGATAGATTGTCTGGGATCCAGACTAAATTAATCTTGTGAAAGGCAGGCAGGGGGAACTGAATTTGTAGCAGTGTGTGTACTGGTGGGAGAAAGTAACCCCAGTGGAAGTGTTGTGACTTGTCAGTGCTCACTGGGTACCAGTGCTGCACCAGAGAGGTGTGTGAGTGAATTCTGGGGCAATGGATTGCTGTGTCTTCACCTGTCTGCTTGTTTGTTTCAGGCATACCTTCAGCAAGCCCAAGAGCTGGTTATACTTGAAACAATAATGCTTCAAACTTTAGGTATGTCTTTCTAAATGCCTCCTGTGCAGCCTGCTTGCCATGAAGAGCTAGTGGGACCCAAATAACTGGATTTTTGATGTGCTATTGGTACATTCACATTTAACTGTTTCCCTGTATAACTTCTGAATTTAGTTGTCTGTTAGCAGTTCTGCTGTGTTCACTGTGGAGAAGGGTGTGTCTGTACTTGTGAAAGAGATGTTTCTGACAGTTTGTAGAAATGTGTAGGCTTCCAAACAGATTTGTGTGAACACAGTTCTGCTGTGTTCACTGTGGAGAAGAAAGGTGTGTCTGTACTTGTGAAAGAGATGTTTCTGACAGTTTGTAGAAATGTGTAGGCTTCCAAACAGATTTTCCTCCAAGTAGTAATTCCAATGACATTTTTTCCCATAAGGCAGCATGGTGTAGTAGCTGGCTGTGCATGTCCTGGAGCAGTTGGAAAGAGCTTTGTACCCAGTGCTCTTCCCCACTCTGCCTTTCCATAGAAGAACATTATGTAATTGAGCAGGTGCTGACTCTGAAGAAAACAAGTTGTAGTGTAACCATTTATGGATTCAGATGATTCCAAAATTTGAAGTGGAATGTTCTGTCAAGACACTCTTCTGACTAAAATACCACAGAGACAATTACAGCCAGAGGCCAGAGAACACTGACTTGCTCAGATATTCTTAAATACCACTTGGGGTATTGTTAAGAAAAATAGCTCACAGTAGTGACCTAGTTCTTAAAACAGTGTCATAAACCTTAAAGGGTTTATTAAGTCTCTGATCTACAAATTGCCTTAATTTCTAATTTCATACATGTAACATTTTTAAGTGCTAGAAATCAATTAATAAAAGTATACATGCACACACATTTCATTGTGTTTGCAGTACAGTTTTTACTGACTTATTAACTTGCTAGAAATTGTTCAGATATATTCAGCTTTAAAAAGATAGTAATTTCCCAGGTTATATGTGTACAGGATTTGAGATTACTGGAGGAATAGTTTATTAATGAATTACAAAGTGGCTTTACCATCTGCCATTCAAAAATACGAAAAGGTAAAGAATAAAAGGCACTTAAATTGTGTTACTTATTCTACAGTGCAAAGGTTTAGCAAGTATTTTAGATCTGTGGGGAAACACAAGGGGTTTGCTTTTTATTTTACAGATGCAATGTATAATTCTGAAATGTATTTGTAACCCCTCAGGTTTTGAGATTACCATTGAACATCCACACACAGATGTTGTGAAATGTACACAGTTAGTGAGAGGTCAGTGACTTTTAACCACTTCCGTAAGTCCTTTTTTACCTTTCTATAAAATTTGAAAGTAATGTTATTTGTCTAATATGATTTTCACCAACTATGTTATCCAAAGAGTATGTTTTAAATTAATTATGAAAAGTTTCATATTTACCTTTAGAGACTCATAAAGAGCCTAGTCCTCTGTTCTTCATAATTTTTTTTTGTTTGCTTATTAGCTTTGATTTTAACAGTACCTGTTCCATGTGTTCTGGAATGACAGAAGCAGTCAGCAGTTGCAAACTGATTGGCCACATCCATAGTATTGCTCTGAGCTGATGATTTTCACTCTGAAGTAGTTTTGCCCATTGATGGCTAATGCCAGCTTTTTGTCTTAACAAATCTTTTCAGGTGATAAAGAGAGTGCACAGCAAGTCTGCTGTCACATACAAATAGGTGTGACTAATTGTTTTTCTGTAGCAGTGTGTCCTTACTTGTTTTGGATGGTAGCACAAAACCCCAGACCTTTAGTTAAACATATCCTGTAACTTGTCTGCAGCTCATTTATGTGACGGGCTAGAAACCTGGTTTGTTCTCTATTTTTTTTGTGGCATTTTGGCACATCTTCTTTAATTCTTGAATTTATTTGTTGTGGAGCTTTAAAAAAATATTAAAACACCTTCTTAGAAGATGTAGGATGAAAAAAAAATAGGGACCAGTTGTAAAAGCATTTAAAATAAGCTTTTCATTTTAATTATGTTTCTTAAGTAAAAAGTGTTTTGAAATTATTAGACCATGGTTGTTAGTCTCCAGTCATTAGCTGGTTTTGCAGTGAAAAATGCATAAGTGCTTCTAAGTTTTTGGTGTTTTTTCTTCTCCTTCTATAAAATATATAAAAGTTAGATACAGCCTAACCCGTTCAACTAGATTTGTAGTAACTCTGGAATTAATGGTGTTCTTTAAGGAAGAGTGTCTCTTATTTGCTGTAGCTTCCTGGTGAGTGTCCTTGCACACTGAGTAGGGTGGTGCTATAACTTACTTGCATGTAAAGTAGTTCTGTTGCTCTCCTTGCTGTAGGATAATGATTCTCTGCTTTCTGCCCAGATTTGGTTGTGACTTGGTGCATGACTCCAGTTGCACCTGAAGTCCCAGTAGTCTGCACCAGCTGCTCTGTAGGGTTTTGCTTTGGCTTTTCTTAGCTGTTGGTCACTGTAAATGTGAGCACGTTTTGCTCTCTTGGGGAGCTCCTGTGCTTCTGTTTGGTGTCTGGGGCTGTGGGGAGGGGTGGGGGAATGTTGTATTGCCTCAGGATTTCCACATCAGTGTGTGTCACTCAAGCCCACAGGGACACTGCTACACAAACTGGATTTCCTTCATCAAGGGCAGATACCACTCTAAGGCAGTTCAGCTTTTCCCTCTGTGTTTTGTAAGCTAATTTTTTGTATTGACAAAATTCATACTTTGAAGAAACTGTGAATTTTTTAATTTGACATCTTTAAACTACTATTTAATGTCAGAAGACTTGTAAAAATACTTAGAAGTCTAAAGTGATATCAAGTCTTGAAATCTGAAGACTTCAGTGAGGGCTGAAAATCCATGTAGCTCAAGGACTGGTGCACAGTGAGTGTAATGTCTGATGTTCTAAACCCTGCTCACTGCAGGAGGTGTGCTCCTTAGTGTGTGTGTGTGCCTGGAATCCTTGGGAGCATGTCCCTAGGAATGGTGTAGACTGTGAACACAAGATTTGAGTGCCTCATATTAAAATAAGAAAAAGGAAACTAATTAATTCATTTAAAACTTCAGGCATGAGATGTGAAGTCATGCAAGGACAGAATAACTGCCATGGAACATTGGTTTTATGTGTTGAGGGGACAGGGAGATGGGCCCATGGGCACTGTGATTATCTTCAGAGACACAGTGGTAGGAGTTGAGTTTTCTGTCCTTGAACATTTATTTATTGGACAGTGTGGGTTTTCAGTGTCCGTAGATGCAACACTCAGATATCTGAGTCCTGAAGCTTTTAAAATATGCCTAGGATTTGTCAGTGTTACACCTTTAGTGCTAAAAGGATTGAGAAGTTAAAGAAATCTAAGGTTACTTCATCCAGTTCTGCTAACGTCATCTTGGACAAAAAACAACATTTCAGAAGGCAGAGAAACCTTTTTTGAATAAAGATGATTAACTTACCCAAGCCTGTTATGATTAAAACTTCCAACTGCATGTTTGGAGAGAGGAGGAAGGGAGGAATGTAGTGTCTGAGTACCAAAAAAGAAGCAGCAAGGTTAGCTGAGGTCTGCAAGTGTGCTTTGGGGTTTGTGCCCTGCATTGTCAGGTGGTGGCAAAGGGCCCTTTGGCTGACTAAACTGCAGTGCCTCAGAGGATGGCCGATTCTCTCCATCACTTTTTGCTGTCTTGCATCCAGGGTAATGTGTTTTATGCAGCCACTGTTACCTGTTATTAAGCTGTAAGCTATTCCCTTTTAAAAACAAAATGAAAAATGAAATCCCAGGTTGTGTTGATGATGCTCAAAAAACTCAACCAAGTCCTTTGTCAGAAGACTGTCTAGTCTGGCAGTGGCACGACAGAATCAATTGCTGGAAGCTGAAGATGAACTAGTAAGTGGGAGTTGGTGCAAATAAATATAATTGCTTCAACATACAACTAAAGAAAAAATGAATTCTTCTCTAAAATTGAAAGCCTTTTGGAAGGTATTATTTGACAACACAGATCATTGCAGAGAAGGGGTGACTGGATGCATAATGATTCGTGATGTTCAGTCATACAATACCTAGTTACTCCTTCTAGTGTTCAGAGACTCATGGGTTAATGAAATTGTTCCATCTTTGCAGTTTGGTCAGTATAGCAGACAAGGAAAATGGTGTGGGCTTAGTATTTTTTCTGCACCATTCTTCCTCAGTGTCAAGAGACTGAGAAGAGGAGACAGGACCATCATTCCTTAGGATCCCACAGGTCCAAGGAATCTGAAGGCAGTGGATATGTGAGGGCCTGTCAGCAAGCATCAGTGTCCATTCCAAGAATGCTCCAGTAGTGAAGAGAAGAAAGGAAGAAAGAAAATGGAAAAACAACCCCACCAAAACACCAAAAACTGTTCTGGTTTTGGCCCTTGCTGCCTTCAACACTAGCTGAATGATCAGCAGTGAAACTGCCCTGGTGCCAAGATTGTGGCATGGTCCTCTTACACTGGTGCAAAATCAGTCTGTTCTCAGCCTGCTTCTGGTGAAACTTGGAATCTGTATCCTCATCTCCATCTTGGGAAGTCTTCGGTCACTCTCTGTGTTGGAACACAACCGTGTGGAACTGAAGATGAGAGCTCAAGGATTTCTAGGATTGTTTTCGCTACTCTGCAGGTTATCAGGTATCTTGAACACCCATGATCCTTACTAATATTTTGTGAAAATTGCACTGTCAAATCCTTCAAATATCCCATAATATCTGTGTGCAGATGCCATTGCTTAAATCAGGCTGAGAAAGACAAAGTCAGCAGAAGAGGAGGTGAAAATGCATCAGCTTTTTCAGAGGGTATTTGCATGAGGAAAATTTGAATCTTAGTGGCGTGGAAAGATGTGAAACACCAGCTGCTCTCCAGCACTTGCTACAGGTGGCCTTCCCATTCTGAACTTTGACCTCAGGTTTTTGTGGGCCTGTTCCCAAGTTTTAAATACTTTCAAGAAATAAAGCCACCAGGACTGCTCAGACCTGAATGCCTACACCATGGCCTCCTCCAGCCCTTTCCAGATACAACAGGCACCCTCCAGCATCCCTCTGTTCAGAGCCTGGGGCTTTTTGCTTTTGCCAGAAGGACTTCAGCAAGCTTCTCTCTTCTGATGCTGACTGGCTTAGCTGCAATCTCCTCTTTCCAGGGAATGCTCACACGTGGTTTGGGTCCAGGCACAGCCAGTTACCAGCTCCTAATGGGGAATTGGGAGTCACAATTTCCTGAGCATCCCAAGGTCCAAGATAAGCTGTGCTGAAGAAAAGACTCAATGGTATCTTGGAGCTGCAAGCAGTGAATTGAGTGGCTATGGCCAGTACAAAGCATTTTGGTTCCCAGTTGGCAGTTCCTTGGAGACAGCCTCTCAGAAGGTGTGTCAGACAGAAGTCCTGTTTCAAAATACTGATGACTATTTCACTAATCCCTGTATAATGGCTGCTGCTGCAGCAGTGAGACAGGATGGATGTTTTAAATCACTCCTGAATGCTAAAACCTAACACTGGTCATTCATGGCTGGTGTCATAGCCATCGGTCCTGTGGCTTGTGAGTTATAAGAGCAGCTCTGCTGGCTTGTTTTAGCCCCTGCTTCAAGAGGATTTAACTTTTGGAGATGCACTTTCCACTACTATAATGGAATAAACCACCAAAATATAGGAACAAAAATTCATTAGATTTAATTTCATTGATGGATTCTGAACCAAAGCTGCCCTACATAGAAGATTTTGGGACAGATATTTTCAGTTGTGCTTTGTGTTATCAAAGGCTTTAGTAAGTTTCTTGCTGGTTTTGGCAATGATTATTATTTAGCTGTAAATAAATTGAAACAGAATCATACCTTTTAGTATAGGTATTTAGCACAGTAATTTTTGATTGAGGCTAAAGTGTGTGTTTCAAGATGTGATTCTTTTCTTCCAGGTATGTGTTTTGATTTACTCATCTTTCAAGCTGATGTTAAATATAAGTTTTCTGGCATCTGCTTTTCTTCCTTGTTCAGAAGGGACATTTCAGTGAGAGTAGAGATGCTTCTTGGTCTTGCTCCCTTAATTCAAACATGTAACTTTACAGAGTATATAAATCATTGAAGATCCTTTAGGCATTGCTTTGATGAAAAATGAAGAGCAAGACATCAATTTCAGTCTTACTCAACCATTGTGTATTTTTATTTGTTAAGACAATCTCATTTCACTTTTTCTTTTTTCTTTTTTTTTCCTTTTTTTTGGTGATTCCACCTTACTTTTTTTTAGATGAGAGGAAGAGGTCGAACTCCTTGGTTTTTTGGCGTGCAATTACCATTACAGGGGCAAACAAAATATTATAGCATAACACATTGTCAGTTTACCTTCTGATTATTATGGATTAGTAGAATTTGTGTGTAGGAACAGATCCTATTACCTTGCAACTTCCACATTCTTCTTAGATTATGGCACTTCCTGGCTGTGTAGCATAAAGACAAATCTGAATTTTATTCCTTGGCAATTATTAGAAGTTGAGTTATATCACATTTTAATATGCTTTTTAAAACTAAATTTAAAAGCCACTGTAGTATTTCTCAACCTTTCTAGAAATATTATTAAAATAAAAGTTTAACAGTGTTCCCTTTGACATAAAATTCAACACTACGCTCTCTGCAGGTAGCACTGATTTCAAGTGATAGTGTCAAAGTAAGAATTGAATGAAGGCTGCATTCAGTCTGCGGTTAAACCCCTTGTGCCCAGCTATTCCATTAAATGCATGTTACAGTAAGTTCTCTTACCTGAGTGAGGAGCATTGGGGTGTCACTCTAGGGGTCAGCACTCTGGGGCTGTAACAGCCCAAGTCAGTTTTTCATTTCTGGCATGTTGCAGTCCTGTGGTTTGTTTCAGTATTTTTTTTCTGACTAACTCAGATGAATTTGTCTGTTTCCTATCAAAGCCTTGCCATAGATTTAACAAATATGGAGCAAAATGTTATGACTACAGTGCTCTTAATTAGAATGAGCAGAAAACTGAATTTTTTTTTCCCACATAGCTTGGGGGCTGGCTGTGTTACAGGGCTTTGGGAGAGAGACGTGGCTGTTTCTGGGGAGGTGGGAGGGTGTCCTGCCCCATTCCAAGAGCAGATGGAGCACTGTGCTGTGAATTGGCCAGGACTGACTGCCTGCTGCTGTCCAGCTCAAAGCAGGGATCCCCTGCAGGTGAGGGTGGGGAAGCAGTGCTTCCCAGAGGAGAGTGCTCACCCGCCAGCTGTTGGAGGGGAGCTGTCCTGTGGGCTGTGCAGGGGGAGGGAGGGGCAGGTCCAACTCCAGTACTGAGTGTGCCTCAGTCTTCTGTGTCTCAGAAAAAAGTATTTTAAAGGCTGGTTAGCTAAAGCCAGATCAGTATTTTAGAAATACCAGCAGTGATTTTTGGAAGGTAAAACTGCTTGAATTTTGGAATGAACTTGACAAATTAGTGCAGACCTTTAATCTCTCTTGTTTTTCTTTTCTTACAGCAAGCAAGGATTTGGCACAGACATCCTATTTCATGGCTACCAACAGGTTGTTATCCTGAACCTCTTTGTTGCACTGTTGTAGCACACTATAGCTTCCTTTACTGCAGGGCCCCCTGATGTGTCTTACCCTTGTTGCAGTGGGGGACTGGGCCACCTCCAGTGGTGGTACCTCCCCGCCTGCAGTGCGGTGTATTGGACAAGGGCCTGACGGCACAAAGGGCTTAAATGCACAATGAGAAGTGTAGTGCTGCTTTCTGATGACTTTTTCTCGATTGTGAGTGCATAAGTCTAAAATTGGTAGCCTGAATAGCAGCTAAAGATTACAAAGAGATAAACTTAACCTAGAAATCCGAGCATCTTGGTAAGTACAAAATTATTTTTAGTTTACACTTGTAGTTAATGGCAGTTTTCTCTTAACTTTAAGTATTGATTCAGTCTTAACTTATAAAATTCTAGTGGGCCTAAGATATTTTCAACTAGCTGATTTTTCTTTTTGGATAGACTAGTACTAGCCCAATGTTATTTCTTTTAGAAATAGCTCTTTAATCTTAATATATAGTTTTAAAACTTAAGTACTTAGATAAATTGATAGTTCTAGGATTCCAAGTGGGTGTTTTGTAGACATAGCCTGTCATAAAAAGAATTAGAGAGCAGACTTTAGTCTTAATTACTTCAATTTGCCTCTTGCAAAACTACTTTAACCTTTATTTAAGAGAATTACATTATGTGTAGATACACTTTTTAAACATTATCTGCTAGTTATTGGAACTGTTCTAAATAAATAAATAAATCCTAGTGGTTCCTTGATGGGCAAGATTCTGTACTTAAGCAATTGTTAAGAGAAGTTATGCTAAAACAGTGAAAGTGAACCAATGTGTTTGTGGTGCTGGAAGCTGAAAACAACATCACAAATGTCACAAATCCAGTCCTGGTGAAAGCAAAGCCCACACATAACTCACCTGGCTGCTGTGGAACTGGTGGGAACCTTCTGACTGTCTCATTCAGAGACTGCACAATTAGCTCTAGTCATTATACTACAGAATTTTCATTCACCATATTATACTGCCCTTTATAGTACTTAAGTACAGTAGAATAATTGGTAAATTTATTTACTGTTCATCAGGGTTTTAATAGCAAAATCAAAGTAAACTTTTCTACTAGATAAATGCCCTGCCCTTTGTTTTCTTAGGGCAGTAGAGTATCTTATGAACTTACTCAACAAAATGTTTAACTGCTGTTGATTGACAAGCTATCTCATTCTGTATGTTAATGGTTGATTTGTTTGGGTTTTCTGTTTTCCATGTTTGATTTCCTTTGGTTCCTCATTACGAAATGTGTGCAACAGCCTTCACCTTACCACATTCTGTCTTCAGTACAAGCCCACAGTGATAGCATGTGTGTGCATTCACTTGGCCTGCAAGTGGTCCAACTGGGAGATTCCAGTATCGACTGATGGAAAACACTGGTGGGAATATGTAGATCCCTCAGTTACTCTAGAACTACTAGATGGTAAGACATGCTCCTTTCTCATTTTGAAGTTCAAGGGTTTATTCATGTAAGGATGGAGCATACTATGTAGTGAGAACATTCAGCTGAAATTGAGTCTCACTGACTTCATGTGCTGTGTCTTCATGAAAGGAAGGGATAGGAGTGGGGAGAACTTCAGAAGACAAACGTGGTTTGGCTACTGGCTGGGGTGTCCACATACCTTTTGCAGGTGGAGGGTAGAATCCTGCTTTTAAATGCTTTTCAGAACCCAGACAGAGATGGAAATCTGTCAGTGCAAATTCATGCAAATCCTGATTGTTTCAGGTACCTGAGTGTTTCAGTTCATCAGGCTGTACATAAAATTGCCATGTTTATGAAGGCAGTTCCATGTTAACAGTTTGGTGTAGCTTGTGGGATCTCAGACTCTGATAAGAAGAAAGAATATGCCTAGAACACCCTACACCTAGAAATTTGCTGTCTTTTAAGATAGTATTTACTGCAGTGGAGTAAATTGAGGGCCAGATGTGCTGCTATGGAGGAGGTGGGAGCTCCTGGGGCTTTCAGATCGGTGTGCTGGACTTTGCTGGTCCTGGAGTGAAACATTTGTTTCACAGTAGTGGTGGTGGTGATCTCCAGGCTTCAGATGGCCCAGCACTGACTCTCTGTGCCTGCTGCTTTCCTCTGGTGAGCTGTTCTTTCTTAATGGCACTTTGGGGAGGGAGGGTTTGAAAGTGAGAAATTGAGACTGAATTTGGGGGCCAGATGTGCTGCTGTGGAGGAGGTGGGAGTTCCTGGGGCTTTCAGATTGGTGTGCTGGACTTTGCTGGTCCTGGAGTGAAACGTTTGTTTCACAGTAGTGGTGGAGATCTCCAGGCTTCAGCACTGACTCTCTGTGCCTGCTGCTTTCCTCTGGTGAGCTGTTCTTTCTTATTTGTTTCACAGTAGTGGTGGTGGTGATCTCCAGGCTTCAGATGGCCCAGCACTGACTCTCTGTGCCTGCTGCTTTCCTCTGGTGAGCTGTTCTTTCTTAATGGCACTTTGGGGAGGGAGGGTTTGAAAGTGAGAAATTGAGAAGATGTCATATGAAGCACAGAACCAGAGTGAGCTTCAAAGTGCAGGTTCAAACATTCTGTCTTACTGGGCACCTCTAAGCTGTAGCTGCAGTTCCAAACACCACCCTGCTGCCTTCCCACCTGTTTGTGGATTTGTGACTTTAATAAACATGCATTGTTTGGATTTGTAAAATCCCCCAGGGGAATGCTGTGAGCTCCTTGTGAACATCACTTAATCCTTCAAGCATTTATGGAGCTGGGGTGTTTAACAGACCAAAGAGCTGAGGTAGTTTTGCACTTGGGAGCAGCTTAGGTTGTAACTTGTGGAATTCTGGAGAAGCCAGTTCTTCCTGTAAAAGATGTACTTCTGCATTCAAATTCTGACTGTACCCAGTTATTTTTAGCTTATGACTAGAATTAAGTCTCAATGAAAAGTATTTTTATTTGCAGCTGATCAGCATGGAGATGTGTGTTTTCCTGTGGGCATACTAATTGTAAGGATCTTCATTTTGTTAACACAGCCAGCTACTCCACCTTGAACACAAATTATTTCAAAGTGTTAATAACAGACTCCTTCCAAAGGTCTGATGGCTGTGGTTTGTACAGAGCTGATACTGGTTGTTCCTGAAGTTTGATGGAATGACTGAAACAGAGACTTAAAAATTTATACTTTCAAGGAAACTCCATACAGAATATGTACAGGCTGAATGGCAAGTATGTTATTTTAGAAATTGTTGTTTCTATAGTTTTTGGTCTAACAAGTCCAGGTTGTGCAAGAGTAAAAACAAAATATTATAGTTAAACCTGCTTTTCAGAATGTGTGTAGTTGTCAGAAGTCTGTCCCAGTGGAATACTGTAAACTTTTCTTTTCCACACTTGCCTAACAATTTATTAAAATTTGAATTCACCTCATGCACAGACTGCATCTACTGCAAAAACTGTAGAACCTTAGACTAAATTTTACCTGTTTATAACAGAATCAGATGTAAAAATGGCTTTTCTTTTTCTTATTCAGAGCTAACTCATGAGTTTCTGCAAATACTGGAGAAAACACCTAGCAGGCTCAAGAGAATTAGAAATTGGCGGGTAAGAAACTTTCCTGTAGTGTCCAGCAGGCAGAGATAAACTAGGAGAATTGTGATACAGGGGAAAAGTTTAGTTACGCTGTCCTTGCTCTTTCTCCCTGTGTCTGGGTTAGGAGGTGGTGAAACCTTGCACCAGCTTTTATTCCCATCTCTGGGCTAAATTCAGATGGCCTGTACAAGTATTCTAAGCTGTGTTTTCTCACTTCTTTCTTTTGTGCTTAGGCTAATCAGGCA